TCCTCTTTCACTCTCTCTTTAAAAAATAAAATAAAATAAAATATAAAGAAGAGCTGGGGATGTGGCTCGGTGGTTGAGTGCCCCTGAGTTCAATCTGTAGAACCAAAAATAAATAAATAAAAGAAAAGAAAGAAAGAAAAGGGAGTTGGGGATATAGCTCAGTTGGTAGAGCTCTTTCCTCGCACACAGAAGGCCATGGGCTCAATCCTCAGCACCACCAAAAAGAAAGAGGAAAAAAATGTTTTGTTACCCATTCACTAACATGATGGTCTGGGAGGACTGGAGATGGGGAGGTGCGGAGAGATTTCCTTGTCTTTTACCCCCTACATTTCAATGATGTTTAAGATTTTTACAATGAAAATATTTTCTGGAAATGTATGTGGGATGCTAACAATTTAGGAAGCAAAGAGTCTGTCCCCAGGGCTGGGAGCTCGAGGCAGGGTGAGGCCCAGGAGCCTCTGGGAGGCAGGATCTCTGGGGTCAGGTCTGCAGGTGGCCTTGGGCTGCACACAGAGCCTCTTCCTCAATCGGTTCAAGCGCCTTGTCCCCGAGGCCAGAGCCACAGAGAGCTGGCTTCGGTGAGCATCACAGGTTCCTGGAATCTGGAGACCTGTAAAATCCGGACTGTCCACCCTGCAGTCCTGGGGACTGGCCAGAGGGCCGCCTTGGACTTGCAGGACACACGAGAGCCAGGGAGCTCTGGGAACCGTGGCGTCGGGCGTCTGGAGCTGCAGCTGCCTCCCCAGCCGGGCTGCTCCTGAGCCCAGGGACCCGCAGTGGAGGAGGGGCAGCCCACGCCTGTCCGCTGGGCTCCCAGGCGTCGTGGGCAAGGCCATCCGCGAGCCTGGTGCTGACCCGAGCTGGTCAGCTTCCTTCTTGGTAACTTCGACCTTTTCTTCTTTTTCAAGCCTGGGTTTGTTTGTTTGTTTCACACAGAGAAGTTTGGGGAGATTTTCAAGCAGATTATTGAAAACACAGGGTTAACAGCAACCGAAACCATGCACAAGAATAAGTGGTGAAAAACAGGGCTCGTCCCCCTCTTGTCTCCCCCGCCACCCATTTCCCTCCCCTGAGAATCCATGTGCGCACTTGAGCATATGTGTGTGTGTGTGTGTGTGTGTGTGTGTGCGCTTTCACTCTGATACTATTAGAAGCACACTCCAGGAAGCATTCTGGACCAAGCCAGGAATGGTGGTGCACACATGTATTTTCAACTATTCAGGAGGCTAAGATAGGAGGATTACAAGTTCGAGTCCAGCCTCATCAATTTAGGGAGACCCTGTCTCAAGAAAAAACAAGCCAAAGGATGGGGACATGGCTCTTGCCTAACATATGCAAGAGCCATATTTTTTCTGTACTGAATTCCCAGTACAGAAAAAAAAAAAAGTACTCTAGGCTAACTAAAAATCCATGTCTCGGCGTCTTCTGTAGCAGTACCTGGAAGCTGGCTCTCTGCTTCATGCTGGAATTCTGTGGCATAAGAAAGTCTTCAAGCTTTGGAGTAACTGGGCCTAGAATTCGTCTTGCCTGGGGTTCCACCTCCCCTTCACTCACTTCTGTTCTGCAAGGCAGTCTGGGAGCCTGTCGGTCCCCAAGCATGCCTTAGTCCCAAGCCAGCCAGGACACTTGCTCCCCCTAAAGGAAACTGAAGCTTGCAGGAGCAAGGATATTTTCCAAGACCTCGTGGTGGGTCGGCACAGGCCCAGAATCCCAATGGAAGTCTACCTGATGCCGCTGCTGTCGGAGGACAATGAGAAGTCACTGCATAACTAGTGATTCCCTGTGCCATCCCCAGATGGACGATGACAGGGCATCTGAATAGACCTTGGGACAGGCAAACCAGGTTCCAGCTGCAAAGTCTGTTGGCTGTGTGGCCACAGAAATCCGCTCCCTTTCAACCTTTGTCCTGGGCTCATAGCAGATATTTAACAAATGTTTGTTGAGTGAAAAAGTGAGTGAACGAATGAATCAATGAGATACTAGCATTTATAATCCTCACCTTATATGAGGAAAAGCTAGGGCACAGAGAAGCCAAGTTATTAGTTCACAGTCAAACAGCTCAAAAGCAGCAGGGTTGGGATTTGAACCTAGAAGGGGGTCTCCAGAGCCCATGACTTGTTTCCCTCTTCTAGAACATTCTTATCTATACTATGCATTAATGTGTCCTGCCCTGAGTCCCCACATGGGTGCCCCTGCCAGTCCCTTCTCCAGCTTCTTTCATTGGGAGCCTTGCTGTCTCTGCCTTCCCACTCATGGCTTGGGGGCCCTGCTCTGCGCCTTTTGTGTCCCTGTCCCCTGGCCTGGAGCCTGAGGTCAGAGCCTCAGTCCTCCCGCTGAGACCCGGTTTTATTTCATTCCTTCATCTGTCCAAGTCTTCATCCACCAGCTCTGCCCCCGGGGCTGGAGACACAAGAACCCAGCCCGGCCTGGTTCTCAGGAGCCAGGAAACAGCAAAGCAGAGCGCGGCTCGGTGGCCATGGCACAGGCTGGCTGCAGGGCCGGGGCTGGAGACCCCCGAGGGGCTCTGGGAAGGCCGCGCTGGAGCGTGGAGAGGGGAGGAAGCGTCGGCGTCCCGTATGCACGGAGGATGTTTGTGCACTGTTACTTATCATCGCCAGCAAGTGGAACGACCTCAGGCCCAGCCTCGAGAAATGGCCTCAATAGCCAAGGGACTGTCACCAGCTGCAGTTTCCAAAGGATACAGAAATCTGGTTTTCAGACGATATTTTTTCTTTTTTTGAGACTAGGGATTTGACCCAGGGGTGTTTTTACCACTGAGCCCCATTTCCAGCCCCCTT